CGGGCCGCTCTGAGCTGCCGTGCCCCGGCGGCGGCAATAAATAGCGAAGGGCCGTTTGTTTTGGCAGGCGAGCGGCCGGTTGCGGGGCGCGGGTCTCGGCGCTGCCGGAGCCCCCGCGGTTTGCGCCCTGGCGGTCAGCGCGGCGGGGCTGGAGCTGGAGCCGGAGCCGGAGCCGCCGCTGCCTCCGCTCACCGGGCAGGAGTGAGAGGGGAAATTGAAGAGATCCGGGACCGGGAACCGCCAGGACCGCACCCTGCCCGTGTCCCAGCCTCCAAGCGCCCTCCCTCCCTCGGCCTCCTCCCCGCGGAACCTGCCCCGGGCCGCCCGCAGCCTCCTCCCCCCGGCCGAGCCCCGCAGCCCACCCCGCCGGGCCGCCCTCTGCCACCTGCCCCCGAGGGCAGCCCCGAGGCTGCCCCGGACCTGACGCCCCCCCTCCTGGGGCACCCCGCGGGGGCTCCCCCACGGCCACCCGGGTACAGGGTGGCACCCCCGGGGCTCGGGCCCCCGCCGCGCCGCCTGCTCGCCAGGGGCCCGGGCCTGCGGGCGGGGATCAAACAGAGCAGGGAGGCAGCTGGTTGAAATTTAACCACAATATTCTCGCTCCCCATTGTTTCCAGGGAGGCCCGATATTTCCACAACAGGATTATGGCATCTGATTAACTCGCTGAGACAACAATGAGGGGCTGGGATGGGCTTCCCCTTCTAGCTGCCAAAAGGGGAAAGTAAATACAACACCCTGATTTCAGGAGCAAGGGCATGTGCCCCCCTCCCCTCCCCCCCAGCTTCTCCCCCAGCTGTGTCCTGGGGAGGGGTCCAGCACTGACTCCGTCTGCTCCCGCTGTGGCTCCCTAGGACCTTCCCAGGTGAGGCAGCGCCTTGGGGCATCACTGGGCACACAGCCCTCAGGGATGCCCCTRCACTAGCCTTGCAGTGGGCACTGGGCACGGGCTTCTCCTGGTGATACGCAAGAAACACCAGCTGAGTCCCTGGAGCAGCCCAGCCAGCTGCTGGCTCTGGCTGCGGGATGTGCTGTCCTCAGAGGCACCAGGAAGTTGRGGAAGGAGGGATGCAGGCTGAGGAGCCAGCAGCGCTCATGGACTTGGGATGCTGCGACGCGGCAGCCCCCATGGACCACTTCTTTTGCCAGGCACAGCTCAGCTTTGCACCAGGTTTTCCTACTCAGTGCCACATATCCAAATCCAGAGCCTCCACAAAGTCCTGCTCTGGGCAGGACTGTCCTGCTGCGCCTGCACAGGGTAAAGCCAAAGGGCCTGGTCAGCACCCCTGGATTATCCTGCTTCCACATCTCTCAGTCTGACCTTCCAACAGAGCATCCTACAGGCACCGGCAGAATGGAGGAGACCTGCATCAGGCACCATAAACCTTCCCCATCCCTGCATACRGCTTTCCCAGGTTTGCAGGAGGAGAGCAGCTCTGCGTGCAGCCTACGGCAGGCTCAGGCAAACAGGAGCCGAGTGCTCAGGGTGCTGCAGGCTCATTTGTACTCACGGCACATCCGCTCCGACCCCATGGAGAGAACAAGGCTGGTTGCTCAGCTTGCTCAGCACCGCCTGACAGAGGGCAGCGGGGAAAGGGATCGTTTGGGAAGGTGTGGATCTGGAGAGTGCCGCACATCTCCAAGGAGAAGTACTGCACAGTTGCTGATTTGATGGGGGTCTAGACCCCGCAGYAAGCTCTGCAGCCTGCCAACATGCAGCATGTTTGTCACACAGGTCTGTCACCCACCTGGTGGCTCTGGTGCCGGTTCAGTGTCTGCAGCCTGCAGGGACCCAGGGCTACACAGGAGTCCGGGTTTGGCTGTGGCTCCCGTGCTGCAAGAGCCAGGCATCCTGCACACAGAGCAGTGGCAGCATCCTGCGCAAGGTGACAGCTGAGTGCAGAGCCTGCCACCTTGCCAAGCCATGGGGAGATGCTGGGCTGGCCTGGCTTCCACACGGGAAGCAGGGCACAGGAGAATCAGTGCTCACTAACAGCCTGGTGCTGATGAAGAGCAGCCCCACAGGGAACTGTCCCCTCTCCGAAAGCCCTCTGCCCTGGCCCAGCCCTGCCTGGTGCTGCTCACAGGGTGACTCTACAGCCACCAGCCCCTTGCAGCCTGTTCTGGGGGGCTGAGACACCCAGCACTGCTGAGGGCAMCAGCTGCCCTGATGCCCATTCCCTGTGTCCCTGTCAGTACCTGGGGACAAGTGGGCCAGGAGCTGGGACATCGTCTATCCAGCCTGGACGAGCAGGGATTTCTGCTCATGTGGCATTTCTCCTTGGGGGCTGCTGAGAAGGGCTGTTTGCTGCTGCAGCGGTGGGTGCAGAAGGAATTATGTTCCAGTTGCGCCAAGAGAGATCCGGGGTCCGTCCCTGATTCCAAGACATCTCTGCAGCACTCAGCCACTCAGCACAGCCGGTCACCGCACTCTGTTCCAGCTGTGTCCTGACCTTGCCCTTGTCCCTCCTTCCTCAGCACCTTGCTTTCCCCCATCAGGAAAGCCACCGCATCCCTGCACCCCTGCCCCGGAGGGGAGAGCACATCCTGCGGACACCCCCGTGGGCTCCAGAGGCTGCGGGAGCCAGGGGAACGGGACAGGGGTGCAGGGCCAGCAAAGAGCCGGGCGCTGCGCAGGGCACCCGGCGGAGCCGGGACATGCAGTCTAGGTGGTGCTATTTCCCTATTTTTCACTGGACGCGTTTGGGATTTTCCTCTCCCAGTTCGCTGGCTTGGTCTTCTTCTCTCTCTCTCTCTCTTTTTTTTTTTTTTTTTTTTTTTTTTTTTTTTCCCTTTCTAAAAATACTTGACAGCGATTGAAAGGTCCCTTTAATCGAGGCCACAGAGCCCTTATTAAGGGCACGGGTCGGGGTGCTGGGCCGTGCCCGGCATAACGGCTTCATTAAACCCTGCGAAAACTAATATTTATGGAATCAAATTTATGGAGGCCGAGGCCGAACTTGCGGCCTTTAATGTGTGTCGGGAGCTCAAATCCAGGCGGCTCCAGGGAGGAGGGGGTGGGGACAGGGCAGGAGACCCCGAGGGACAGGACGGGACAATGAGCGGTGACAGCCCCCAGTGCCAGCGGCAGCCAGGGCTGGATTCATATGGGTCTGGGGTCCCTGCCCTGGGCCGGCGGGGGCTGTTGGCTGTTGGAGGTATCAGCAGAGCTCTTTCCCTCACTGATGCCCCCAGGCTCCTGCTTTTGTGCAACCCCCTCCCCATCCTGCATCCCCATCTTCTCCCGCCAGCTCTCCCTGCCAGCCTCTTCCTGCCCCACAGCCCTCTGCCCCTCCGCTGCCGCGCTTGCTTCCCCACGGGGATGTGGCAGGAGGGCAGGCCCCACTGCGGGACCCCATTTGCCCCTGCAGGAGCACAGCAGCATCCACGGGAGCAGGGCAAATGAGCCAGGCTCTGTCCTTGCTGCTGGTCCTTACCCCAGCCTTGGCCCTCCGCAGTCACCAGTTCATTCTGCAGAGGGACAGGGCACCTGGGCAGCGGTGCCACAGTGGGGGCTGCAYTGGCGTCCCGGGAGAGGTGGAGACGTGGCCCAGGTGCAGCTTGTATCCACCATCAAGCTCACCATGCATGGACATAGGCAAGGTGSGAACTCTCTATCGTGCCCCGTGAGATGTCTCCTCTGTTGCCTTTGGAATAGGGGCAGATTCTCTCCCTGGGGCCCTAGACTCTCCTCCTGCAGGCCCCGGGGTRCACAGAGGAGCAGCAAAACCCTGCAGATGGGCACACGTGTTGCTGGCTGGCAGGCTCCGAGCTGCCCAGTTTGATCCCTGTCAGAGATGGGGAAGGGCCCCAGCACTTCCACCCAGGAGGAAGCTCCACAGCTGGGAAAGTCCAGAGCTCTGCCCAGAGAGTCCCCATGCGGTTCCCACTGGCCTCCCCCATGCCACATACCCTGTGCCAGAGGCAGCTGCTCCCGGCACGTATTTACACCATGTAGGATACCAGCGGATGGGGAATGGCTGGGTCCGGCAAGGATGGTTGTCAGCACATGGTCCCCATGGCTTCCCCTTCCCACCACCCACCCTGCCCTGAGCACGGCTCCCTCGGAGAGGAAATATGAACAGCACCAGGCTGCTCTCGCTCCGGGACTGGCCRGCCGCGGCTCAGCAAAGACCCTTTCATTCCCCTTCCACAGACAGAGGGGCTGCTCCGGATGTTTTTGTTTCCCCCTTGCTGCCCGGGAGAGCAGGCACCATGACCGGAGCCGGCCCGGCCCCGGGGCAGGCCCTGGATGCTCTCTTAGGGTCCAGTCCTTCATAGACGGGATGTGGGTACAGGGACAGGAAGAGCAGAACAAAGGATGGATGGATGGATGGATGGATGGATGGATGGATGGATGGATGGATGGATGGATGGAGTGTAGCGGGACAAATGTGGTGAGCTCTGTCCCGGGAGCACCTTGCTCCATGGACTGGAAGCATGCAGTGCATTAGTGGATTGGCTGATCCTTGAATTAGCCAATCCCTGGCCCTTGGAGGCTAGAAAAATGGATTAATCCCATACCCCCTAACCCTCAGGGAGCTAGTATGGAAGGCATAGTCTTCAGCATGGTCAGGCTGCTTTTGCCAACAAGTGACAATACAYTCGGCTCCAGGCAACAGCAAACAGTGTGTCCCCAGTACTGGACAAGCAGAAACTGGGTTCCAGCTTCCCCAGAGGACTCTGCTCCCACGCTGTGGGTGCCCTTCCTGCACAGCCATGGCAGGATCAGCCCTGAGAGACCCAGCTGCACCAGGGCTACATCCTTCTCCTGACAGGTGGGTCTGTGTTGGACAGAGCAAGAGCAGAGAGAGCTTCACCCAACACAGCCTTTTATTGCAAATGGATCCAAAAGTAAGGGGTGGGGGGGAAGAGTTGGTCATCTAGCCAAAACRCACAGCCTTGCAAGAGCCCTGACTGCCCTGCATCCAGCCAGCAGCATCCCACCAGCAACCCCAGGTCCAGCATTGGCTCCCCCGTAGGACAGGATGGGCATGAGACAAGCTCCGTAGCAGGAAAGAGGCAAAAAAGAGATCCCTGAGAAACTGGAGAGCGGCAGAGACACCCCATGTCCTTGGTACAGCTCTTTGCTGCAGCTGGGGAGAGGAGATTGCCATGGACGGAGAGATGCAGGAGAGGAGGCACAAGACAGAGGACGTGGGTGCTCTGCACAGCCTCCCTCGGATGCCAGAGGGGCAGGGACGCTCCAGGCGGGTGGCAGCRACCTTTCAGCTGAACAGTCCCTTCGCCTTCTTCTGCTTGGCCTTGGCCACAGGCACCCGGAGCTTCTGAGTTGGGGAGGAGGTTGGCTGGAAGCGAAGGAGACACAGCATCAGTCCCCGTGGGTGCTCACGCAGGCTGGATAGTCGTGTGCAAGTGCAATGCCCCCGTTGCGTTGCAAATAACACACGTGTGCCATGTGCCCACGCACTGCTCAGCGGCGCGTGCAGGGTAGCACAGGCTTGGCACCAGGCTCAGACCCCTCCTGCCCCAGCAGGGCACCAGGCTGGTGGGCAAGGAGAGAAGGGGGTGCGGGAAGGCCCGGGCACTGAGGACAGCGGGATCAGGCTGCTCCATCTCCCTGCCAGCCTGGAAGCCCCGTGCTGCCCCTGGCATGGAGCGGAGAGGGTGTTTTGGGCACTGTGCTCACCGTGGCTGCCTCGCTGGAAGGGGCTTTTYCATCCTCCTGGGTCTGAGGTGGCAGGTCTGGCTGCTCCGGGGTTTCTCCATCACCTGCTGGGGTCTCATCATCCTCTGGTGCCAGAGGAGGGAGAGGCAATTCAGGATTAAGGGAAGCAAGGCCAGGAAGAGGGGGCACAGAGCACTGCTCCAACCCACATAAAGGAACGGTACTGGATGGCAGAGCTCATCTCTTGAGAGAAAAAGGGTAGTGGGAGACCACACGGGATGAGCTGCACCTGGGGCCTCCCCCCCATTCCCAGCACGGGAGCCCCAGCGCCAGGAGGGGATCCCCAAGGCATGGCCAGGATGCTCCTCACCGGAAAGGTGCCGTTTCCGGGCCTGCTGCGCCTCGTGCTGCGTCACGGCCACGTAGAGCTGCCGCAGGCTGGAGGCGAACGCCTGCCCGTCTCCCGCTGCACAGATGTGGGGCAGGCTCTGCGGGAGAAACGGAGGCAGCGTCAGCCCCGGCGCGGGGACCGGCCGCCTCCCGCCCTGCCTGCAATCAGCAGCRCGGGATGGCCGGGATGCTGCTCCTCCCGGGAAGCTGTGCCATGGCGGCACGTGGTGCCCACGCCCCTCGCGCCGGCCCGCGTGGCAGAGCGACCGGGCCGCGGCGGGCGGCGAGTCAGTCCCGAAACGCCGCAGATGGGATCGCCCAGGAAGGGCTGCAGCGTCCCTGTGGCCACCACCACTCATCCCTATGGAGAGCAGGGCATGGGCAGGATGCCCAGCCATGCGATGGGGATGAGGAGGCCCTGCCTGCTGTAGCCACCTCCAGTGATGCCCACGTGGGTCCTTGGTGGCCCCGCGTGGCCTGTTGGCCACCCCAGCACAGGGCCTGGAGCAGCCTCCTGCAGGGCAGCGGGCTCACAGGGCGCGAGGGATGCCCAGACGGTGCCGGGATGAGGAAATGCACTGGAGAGGACGGCTGTGCAGGGCAATGCTCAAGCATGTGCACGCATGCATGGTGCCTGGACATGCATGTGGGTGAGCGTGGCTATACGTGCATGCACGTGTGTGCTTGTGTGTGGTTGTGTGTGCGTCAAAGGTCTGCGCACTAATCTCTGCTCTGCTCCACACCCAGACAGCAGGAGAACAAAGTGTAACAGATAAGCGCAGCTCTTCTCCGGGCCCRGGGAGCGGGGAGGGGACGGGGACACCCAGACCCACTCAAGGCCAGAGTCCAAAGCCTGGGCCCAGCTTCCCAGTGGTGGAAAGGGCACACAGAGACCCCCGTGCTGCTCCACGCTGGCACAGGGAGGGAGGGAAGAGCYGAAGCCAGGCTGGTTTGACTGGCACCCAAAAAGGGTCCCATGACGAGGGCGAGGGGCAGCGGTGAGCCAGGGCGGCAGGCGCTGTGCTGCTGGGGAACACATCCACTTCTGCTCCACCATCAGGCACAGGGTCAGCCCCTCCTGTCCCCCTATCCCCGCTCTTCCCTGCTGCAGGACCAATTTCTGTGCAAGGCCTCCTGTGTCCCTGGCCACTGCCACAGGAGGGAGCGATGCTCTGGTCCAAGCGCCCTGCTAGCACCACCCGRCTTGCTTGCCAGTGGGCAAACACCCCACCGAGTGCCTCTGCGCCCTGCCTCCGAGCTGCAAGCTGCACTGGCCCCTCACAGCTCCCCATCCCCACAGCCCGGGAAGGAGGAGGGATGCTGAGCGTTTTCCCCACCACGAGGATGCTCATGTCTTGCCCTGGACGGCTAAGTCCCACGGGGCCAGGGTTATCCGCGAGGCTGCAAAAGCAGTGTCCGAAGGTGGAAAGGCAACTGCACTTCAAAGGCAGCACAGGGGCTGGCAATGGATGGCCCGACAGCTCACATCAAAGGCACAGGCTGGAGTCATAACTCAGAGAAAAGCAAACAGCAGCTCCCAGGAAAGCCGGGCACGGTGGTGCAGCGAGCAAAGTGTACTAGATAGCACTGTGCGGGTCAATGCCCCACAGGGACCCCGCAGAGCCACTCGGCACAGGCTGCTGTGCTCCCGCTCTGCACCCGCGGGGCAGCAGGATGTCCCCTGCCCTGCTGACACCAGCTCCACAGCCACCCTTGCCCTGACGGGGAGGGCCAGGTCTGGACACGCAGGGCTGGCATGTGGCTTGGCACTTGCAGGGCACCCCTGCCCATGGCTCTGGGAAGGGACCAGGTTTGGTGGCAGCTCCTGAAAGGACAGGATGGAAATTGGGAGTCAGCAGCCACCTCCTGCCACTGCCTTTGCAGTGTCTCTGAGCCGGGAGGCAGAGGGAGCTGGTAGTGCTGGAACCACACTCCGCATCCCCGCATCCTCACATCCCCGCATCCCCACATGCCCGCATCCCTGCATCCCCAAATGCCCGTATCCCTGCATCTCAGCATCTCTGAATCCCCAAATGCCTGCATCCCTGCATGCCTGGGGTGCAGTCTCCAGCGTAAACACSCTGTGCAAAGCCCAGGGAGAGGCACAGAGCAAGACCCGGGGGGTGCAGCGAGCCCCCAACACCCGTCCAGCATCACCCACGCGGTGCCAGCACACGGGGCCCGCCACGGCCAGGCCAAGGGGACCGAGGTCCTGCAGAGGCGGCAGSGGGGCGGCGCGGGCAGCCCAGCCGCGCCAGCCCTCGGAGCCTCCGGCCGTGCCCGCCCCAGGCGCCGCGCCGGCGAGCGGGGGTTGCCCCGCGTGTTGTGACTACCTGGCCGCAAGGCCGAGCGCGATGCGCCCGTATCAGGAGCGCCTCAAGGCTGCGGCGCGGGCCCCACAGCGCGGCCGGAGCCCTGCGATTAGCGAGCAGGGGGGCTCGTGCACGGAGCAGGCACCCGGCCTCAAGCCAGGAGTGCTGGGGCACACAGGGGCACCCGGGGACGCCCGCAGCGCCAGGGGCACCCTCGGTCCCGCTGCGCCGCCAGGTCCGGGCTGAGCGGTACCGAGCGCACGCAGAGTCCCTGCCTGCAGCGCGCACTGCGCTGGGGACACGCTGCCCTCCTTGCCCCCTCGCCCAGAGCACACGGCAGCTTCCACGGCTTGGCGTGGCGGGGCGGCAGGGCCAGGAGGGTCAAATCCCCGAGGCCAGTGCCGTGCCACTGATGCTGAGGCATCGCTGTGGCCGGCGCTGGCYGGGAGCGGGTTTGCCGGCGGGCTGGAGCGCGCTGGGCCCCAGCACCRGTGCCAGCCACCAGAGTCTAAATCGGTCGTGCGCAAAGCTGGGGACTGACCCTTTCATTATCACACCAGACGCTCAAAGCGGTTACCAACATTCTTCACTGCAAACCCCACATTCCTATTTTTTAATATATTTTTAACTGGAAAACACAGCGAACGGGGCCTGTTTGGAAATTACAGCCTGGCTGCTGTGGCTTGTATGTCAGATCTGCCCACATTCCCGTGGCCAGCCTCAGCACATGCTCCGCAGGGGCACACTTAATAATTCCTGCCGGGGCCGGGAGCCAAGGGGTGTGGGCCGGGGGCGCRTGGCTTCCCTGGGCTTGCCCACCAGCGGGCTCCATGCAAGCGGCGAGCTGGAGCGGTGGCCCTGGAACAGTGTGGACATGGATGTAAGAGGAGCCTGGCAATGCCACAGCAAGCCCCGATGGGCAGGGGAAACATTTGGTGGTTGGGGCGCCCTGTGTCCAGGTCCTCTCCTCTGGCACCGGCTCCGTGCACTCCCGGGAATGGCATCACTCAGTGCATGTGCACGGGGCATTGCTGCCTGTGGTCCTGCCAGCATCTCCAGGCTGGGATGCCCCCAGTGCCCAAGGGGCTCGCCGCAGCCTCTCCGTGGGGACGGCGACGGCCTCGTGGGGCAGAGCTGCCCCCAGCACCCCGCGCCGCTCGGGGGCACCCGCGGCAGCCCCCAGGCTCCCAGCCCGCACGGGAGAGCCCGGCTTCCCCGGCACGGCGCCAGCGCGCGCACACCTGGCAGGAAGCGGCTGCCCGGGCCAGCAGCGGCAGCCGGGGGGCTGCCGCGAGGTGACGGGGTCGCGCGGGGCAGAGCGAGCGGGGCT